ACTTTAAGATATATTTGTTCAGGCACTCAGTGGTCTTTGGCCTTGAACACACAATGAATAGAAAATGTATCAAGCCTGATTTTCGGAAGTGTCAGCAACAATGAAAACTATTTCCATTATAGAATAATAGTATGTTACTTGTATAAGGACTCTATGTCTCTATGACTGATATGCTATTAAAATGCTAATAGATAGGTCTGATACACTTGTCAATATTTTTACAGCACTGGCCACCAACCAAAAGCTAAACTGAGTCATATATTTTTCTTACTTGGATCAGATACAATAACTGGCTGAAAGTGACAGAAGAGAGCTTTAGGTGTTTCGCTCAATGCTTGTAGTAAACAGTATTTTTATTTCAAAAACAAAGTATAGGGATTCATTTAAAGAAAGCAAATAGCTGAAAAGACAGAACCAGATAAACTTAAAACAGGGGCTCAGCATCAAATAAATGAGTGCAAATGACAGTCTGCACAATCATGTAATGAGATATAAGAGGAAAAAATAACCTAATGCTAAAAAGAATAGCATGGAGTGTGGCTGGGCAGGAGGGATGGATGTTCTGCATGTGGAGGAGTGTACAAACCTCCTTGTCTCCAGTACTGCTGCTGCAGTATGTTCTAGCTACTTGGGCCTTATTCAGAGATAGCCTTAATTAACAGAATTCAGCAGAGAGTTTCAAGCAATTTCACAGAGCTAGATGCTTCCAAAATAACTCTCAAAATAGTGGCAAGACAGAGGAAACAACCTATTCAGATGAGCTGAGTGATCATCTTCTAAAATAAAACTGAAATTAGGTCAGCCATGACACTGAAAGATGAGAGAGGAAATGAGAACAGGAAATATTGTTGTAATCCCACAGAAAGCAATATTCCACACTGAAGAGGACTTCTGTTGGAGATCCCAGCGTCATATAACTTACATCATAAACACTGCCAACATGCCACAGATGTACTCCACAAAAGCTAATGAAAACCACGTGATTGTGCACCTTTTATATGCTGTCAGTTTTTAATCTGTACTTTTAGAGATAATTAAGTAGGTGAACATACCTTGCAGACCACAAGTGGGGAAAAAGCTGATGAGGGGAATGACAAGGGTGGTTATGGTACACTCATTATCCAATCGGGTGGAAGTTTTGGATGAGTATACATGGTGCATTTTGGCCCCAAAAGAACAAGTGATAAGTACTGTGCTCCAAACCGGCAAATACAGATGCACATGTCTAACTCTACTTCCACGAGTAATTCCACTGACACAGACCTACATGCCTAAGTGTTTGTGAAATCAGGGCCCATATGAATGTATATATTGCATAGAATTTATGATATTGTCTCTCCAGAAGTGGGAGGGTTTTGTGTGAGTACTACATATCAAACACTTGAGCCAAGACTTTTCAGTTCTAGATAGATCATGTCATTAGATACTCACACTTAGAACTAAGGAAATGTGTTTTTATACTTGTATTAAAATTAAAAATTGGCTTTTATTCTACAATGTATTTGTATTAATTTTTGTAAGGAGAAAATTGATTTTTTTTCAGTCAAAAATACCTTTCAGCTATATCAAACCTGAGTCTCAACCCAGAATTCAGACTTAATGTTCAGGTCCTGATCCTTAATGTTGTTGTTTGTTTGATATAATACTACTACTATGTTACTGCTACCATTTTGTGCTTCAGTAGTGTCTTTCTCCTAAGGATCTCAGAGCTCAGAACACTTCCCAAGATCTCTGCATAAAGACATAAATATTTAATTTAAACACAATCAGCCTTAATGGGACCTTTCCCATGTGGAAACCTAATGATATGGTACACATACAACTAGACGAGACCAAGAGTTAGAAAGTGTGCTCCAAGGAACAATCCTACAGTGGCTGAGGGGTTGGAGTGGATAATGTAACAGATCTTTTCCAGATCTAATTTCTGTGGTTTTATGTATACAAGGCCTGGAACCCTGCTTCTGATCCCATACCAATTTAACACCAGTGTAATACAATTGACTTCAATGGAATTCCTTCTGATTTATACCTGTGTAAGTGAGAGCAGAATCAGGCCCTAAGAATTTAAGATGGAAAAAGAAGTGATTTTAATGTGAAAAAAACTTCAATATTTTTGTACAACAACTGATTGTGAAGTGAAACTAATGGCAGTTAGCCCAGCTGTTGCAACCAGGTGAATTAAGTATTTCTCTCCCCACTTATCTCTAATTTTAATTTCAATGGAGCTGTCCCCATACGTTACGCTACCATAAAAATAATTTTAAAATTTACAGTGAAATGATGTTAAGTATCTGCCGTAAACTGACAAATTCAAGGAGATTTAGAGTTAATGCTGCCAACTCTCAATAACTCACTGTTACTGCAGAATATAAAGCAGGCAAAAACCACAATACGAGGCAATTTATATAGAACCAGTTCACAGAGTGTATCAGAAAATCCTTTACATATATTGCAGGATAAACAGGGTTTTATGGACAGATTTAAAGGGAGAGGGTGTGAGTGAGTCAGTGGTTTGGAGAGCAGGGGAGAAAGTAGTGACCCCGACAGTGCAATGCTGTGTGAAGGGATACAGATTAGACTACATGGATTGGAAGAATAGAGTGAGCTTATGGGTCATGGATGGAGGAGTGTCATGGGGTGAACCTCTCCAACACATTCCCTTATGGCCCCACCATAGTCCTGCAGGTGTGTTGCACTCAGCATCCCCTCGGTCCTTTCACACAATTAACCAGCCCAGATTAGTTCAACCCCCTTTGGGAGTCTGGTTTATTTTCTCTCTAGAGGGACACTGACTTATTTAGCAGCTCAAGTTCATGCCGAATATCGGTCCATGTAAAAGTCTTAGTCAGTTTTCCCCCCGTGTTCAGAAAGCCCCAGTCCTTCTCCTGGCAGTAGGTTGTATTTTGGACAATTCCTCTGTCCCTCTCCTTAAGACCGAAGTCCCCTACCTCTCCTCCTTGGAGCTGGAGTTGTACATTAGGCAAGCTGTAGAGCCCCAGACAGCTTCTACTCCAGCTGGCCCTTTTCCCAATCAGTCCTGCCACCCTTAGGCTGGGAGGTTTTTCCAGACAGACTTTCCCCTGCTGCTGTCTGCCCTGCTATGAGGGAGAAGGAAATATATACATGGTCCCCTTACTAAAGCTATTAAAGGGGTGATCTCAGGCCTTTAAAGAAACAGTGATGGGAGTTTCTGCCAAACACTTCTTATCCCGGGACCATTTTCTCTTTACCCATATCTCAGTCTTTCGCTCTAGCAGATCTTTCCAAATCTTAAGGGCCATGTCATGTGACAGGGGTGGGTTGATCCCTAGGCACCACTACTCTTAAAGGGGAAATAAAGTGAAAAAGGAAGGATGATGGAGGGCAAATTGGAATAACAGGAGGACAATTCTGAATTGGATTCAGACATTATGATGGCAGTGCCAAAAGGTCATAGGGATCCATATGGAAAACAATCAAAATGAACACATTAAATGGATTAAAAGCTGGCTGATAGGTCTCAAAGTGTAACTGTGAATGGGGAAACATCACTGAGTGGGTCTGTTTCTAGTGGGGATCCCACAGGTGTCAGTTCTTGGCTCTATCTTATTTAACATTTTTTTTATCAACGACCTGGATGAAAACATACAACCATTACTGATAAATCTGCAGATGACACAAGATTGGAGGAGTGGTAAATGATATAGAGGACAGGTCACTGATGCAGAGCAATCTGGATGACTTGGTAAGCTGGACACAAGCAAATAATGTGCATTTCAATATTGCCAAATGTAAGGTCATATATGTAGGAACAAAGAATGAAGGCCATTCCTTCCAGGATGGGGGACTCTATCCTGGGAGGGAGTGACTCTGAGAAAGCTTTTGGGTCATGGTGGGTAACCAGCTGAATATGAGCTCTGAGTGTGATACTGTGGCCAAAAAAGTAGGAGTAAGGAGGTTATATTACCTTGTATTTGGCACTGGTGCGACTGCTACTGGAATACTGTGTCCCTTTTTGGTGTCCACAATTCAAAAAATTGGAGAGGGTTCAGAGAAGAGCCACGAATAAAGTATTGGAAAACATGCCTTTAGTGAAAGACTCTAAAAGATATATTCTAGTTTAAGCAGCTATTGGACTTAAACATGAATTGTCTTATGGCCTGTGTTACACAGAACAGATAATCACAATGGTCCCTTCTAGCCTTAAAAATCTATGAATCATTGGAGTGAAACGAGGACCACAGTGACTGGGAATACTTAACTGCAAATACATGAGCCAACAGGGGAAAATAGAGCAAGAGAGAGGCTGCTTTACCTGTACATTGTTATGTTTAGGTCACATGCTATATTTAAAAGTTACCTTTGGCTTAGAGATCCTCAGCATACTTGCTACTGGTTTGCTCAGCACCATCTCAAAATTATGTGCCACAATTTCCTGTTATAACTGTGACTCTCTGTTAAAATTAAGAAACTAATTTGCTTAATAAGAGCATGTCTCAATGTATGATTTTATATTTTCTGAAGAATTTCTTTCATAATATTGATATTATGATAATGTATCAATGTATATTCTGTTAGTCACACAAGAATGTTAGGACAGAATTTTAAATTTCCTTTGTGTGTCTATTGTCAGTCTGACAAAGACTACAGTTCCTCATAAGGCATGTTTATAGTCAATGGAGTTATTTTAGGTTTTTTGGAAGGAAATAAAAGAACAACGTAATTATTATGAAAAACATGGATTTTTTCAAAACACATTCTGGTACTATGATGATGGAGACCACATAAGCAGGGAGATAGATTTCCTCTCCAAAGAGCTGGCAATATAAAGGTCAGACCCTGCAACTACTCATTCATAGGAGTAATTCAACTGAAGGCAACGGGACTATTAACATTAGAAAGGGATATAGCATTGGGGGGTCTATGATAGAAAAGACAAACTTACATAAAGACAAGCTATGGGACAGCAGTGAATGAACTGCATAAGAACTAAAAAGTAAATAAAGGAGCATGTACAGTACCTCCATCGTTATCCATATTATCCCCACACACCATTTCCATGACAACGTTACATCCTGTGCCACTCCATCCCACCTGACACACACAGTGCCATCCATTCTGATCAAGAGTGCATCTCCCATTTCCATAACACAGACCCGGGCAGCCATCTAGAGAAGAAAATGTAAAGAACAAGGCTTCATGCAGGAGTTTCTTTCAAATTATAAATTGTTACAGAACGTTCATTAAAATTACTTAACAATATTTGCTACTTTCATATGATATCACAGTTGGTCTACTTTGGACATTCTTGGACAAATATTCAACTCTGCTTGCCTAGAAAAGCATGCCTAAGTTATAATGGCTTATTTTTTGGTGCCTAAAATCTTGTGGATGCAAAAACTCCGATGTGGGTGCACGAATAGTATGTGCACACCAAACTGAGTAATCAGAAGTCTAAATAGCTGCTTTGCACATACAAATAACTTCTATCTATCTTGGTTTTCATACCTAGTATCAATCATGTGCTCATGACAGAGTTTCTATATGAAACTTTGACACAAAAGATGAGTTTACAAAATGTAGGCAAGTAATTTTAGGTGAGCGAATCTGGAAGCAGCAGATACTGTAGGTGTGGAAACCCACACAAACCGAGCAGGGCTAGGGAAGCCTTTTCTGATTCATTCTGAAGTACTTTCCTAGGGAAGAAAAATGCAGGGGGGGTGACGTTGCAGTCTATATGGTTTTATAAAAATATGCTGATGAGTGAATATAATGTAACTGGAATATGCTTCATGCAAAAGATCTCTTGTAAGGTATCATTACAAAGCTTATAATCTACTGAGTGTGATCATCCTTTTTGTATAAATGTACCACTCTTGTATCTAAAACTAGAAATATGAAATATAACTCGGAGGGCCTATTGTAATTATGCAAAGTGTGGGCCATTAATGGTGGTTTGGAATCTTGATGACTCCCATTAACCAGGACAATTGTCTGCAGATGACACTGTTTTACCTGCAAGTCTTCCTCTATACATGTGTGCTGGCAAGTGGGCAATGAAGTCTTGCAGTGACATGTGATCATGTCACCTGAACTGGAATCCATCTTTAACCTGGTGTCTTTCCATTGAGAAGGAAGGGGTGGGAACCAGAGAGGGACAAAGGATTCCTGCCTTATGCAAAAGAAATATAAAGGAGTGGAAGAGAACAAAGCAGGAAGACCATTATGAAGAATTCCCTAGCTACCACCTGAGCTGGAACAAGAGCTGTACCAGGGGAAAGAATTGTGCCCAGGCCTGGAAGGTGTCCAGTCTGAGGAAAAAACTTACTAAAGCATCTCTGAGGGTGAGATTATCTGTATTCAGTTTGATTAGACATAGATTTGCACATTTTATTTTATTTTGCTTGGTGATTTACTTTGTTCTGTCTGTTACTACTTAGAACCACTTAAATCCTACTTTCTGTATTTAATAAAATCACTTTTTACTTATTAATTAACTCAGAGTATGTATTAATACCTGGGGGAGCAAACAACTGTGCATATCTCTCTATCAGTGTTATAGAGGGTGAACAATTTATGAGTTTATCTTGCATGAGCTTTATACAGGGTAAAACGGAGTTATTTGGGTTTAGACCCCATTGGGAGTTGGGCATCTGGGTGTTAAAGACAAGAACACTTCTGTTAGCTGCTTTCAGGTAAACCTGCAGCTTTTGGGGCAAGTAATTCAGACCCTGGGTCTTTGTTGGAGCAGACGGGAGCATCTGGCTCAGCAAGACAGGGTGGTGTGTTCCCGAGCGGGCAGGGAAAGCAGGAGCAGAGGTAGTCTTGGCACATCAGGTGGCAGCTCCCAAGGGGGGTTCTGTGATCCAACCCGTCACAGGGGGGTTTCATTGTAATGCCCCCTCCCACTTCCTTACAACTCTGTATCCAGTTCAAATAAGACAAACACTTGCCCTTTGGTGGCTGTAGGAAATGTTTTGGTTCCTTTCTGTAAATTATGAAACTAGATCTAAAAATGGATCAATTGCATCATCCCCAGGGTTTGCAAACTCTGAATTAACAGTAATTTTGGCATTTTCAACTAGGTTCCTTGCTCAGTATGACAGATAGATAATCTCTTGGATGTGCCCACTTATGTCCATCTGCTTGTATAGTTTGGTGCCAGTACAGATTTTTGTCAGATCTTTACCTTATCACACAGGGAGCCAAAGGACAATGGATGGAGCTTAGCAATCAATTTAACACTACAAGTGTCATCCCTTTATAAACGAGTGCTTTCTCTTTGCCAGAACGGACTCACAGGAATTCAATGCCTCTCTATATCTGAAAGTGCATGTTGACACTTCTGCAAAAGGAAAAGATTTGATTCCAAGAGGAAAGGAAGACTCAGTCTGCAGGGGTTTCTGGCAGCCACTAAAGGAGATATTGCAAAAGGTGTTTGGAACTGCCAGTCAAAGAGACAGAGCCTAAATACCAGTGGTCCACCTAGAGACACAAAATGGATGAGGTAATACCTTTTATTGGACCAACTTCTGTAGTGGTCCATCTAGTCCAGTATTCTGGCTCAGAGTGGCCAGTATCATGTGCTTCAGAGAAAGGTGCATTACAGAACAGCTTGCACACAGAGAACATTTTTTCCTAACTCCCGAAAGTCAGAGGGTGGTTTCTTTCCAGGATCCTTGTGTTTTGCTTTTTTAATCCTTACTTTTATAGCTCTGGATAGTGCTTGTTATCCACATAAATTATACGTCACACCCTGGCTCCAAGATCTGCATCAACTGCCTATTGCTCTCCTGGTAGAGTTTAAATAGTTACTTACGACTTACAATGCCTTTGATTTCCTAGCCTCTGCCTACCTGAAGGATCACCTCTCCCCCCAAGACATACTGCCATAGTTGCCATCAGCAGGAATGCTTGAGCTATATTCCCCCCTCATTATAAAATAGAGAGGGTCTGCTGGTAAGGTGTTGTCTATAAGGGCCCTGGGACTCTAGAACTTGTTCCTTGTTGGTCTGAAATAGCTTGATCTTGACGATCTTCCAGTACACTGTCAAAGCCATTCATTTCATAGATTTTTTTTTTTGGAAAGTTGAGGGTATGTTCCCGTGGAGATTAAAGGGGCTGTTTTTCTGTTTTGATTTATTGGCCAGCTGAGTTCATTCATTATTGGTATATTTAATGATTATATTTTGCTGTGGGTGGTTGTCCTTTATGAATGTAAATCTAATAATTCTCAGGTAACCTAGGGATTTTTGTATGGTCATTTTTTATTGTTATTTAATTCTGAAGAGATAAAATAATAAATACATAAATAAGTGTCCAATCCTTTTTGGAATCCTGCTTCGTCTGATATCTCTGCTGAGAGCCATCTTCCCAGGAGACAGCGTGATTTCTTACACAACAGTGTGGCTAGGACTGAGAGATTGCTTCCAAACCATGAAAGACAGACATGTAGGGCCAGAAACAAGCCATAGGCCCTGCAGAGCAAATTCATGTCAAAGGACATGCACAGGGTGCAAATCAACACAGAATTTAGCTCTTTGGGTCTGGAATGGTTTAATAAAGTATTTCATCTCTAGCCTAGATAGAGTTTTCTGCCAAAGGGCAAACACACAAATTGCTCAAAGCAGCAACTAATGTGGGTGTGGGGTAGAGGAAATATTTATAAATCCCTCTGATAACTCAAAACCTCACACAGTATTGTACAATGCCATACTTTAAAACATGCGTGGTTTTACATTTCTCCCCCACCTCCAAAGTCTTAGAGAAGCATATTTCCTTCACAAATGAAACCTACTCTCTAGCTGCAGATGATAAAAATATGGAAATGTTGTTCTAATAGAAGGAAGGTTTGACACAAATTATTCCGGTAATACCAAGTACTCAGTGCTGTCATCACTCCGTGAATGGAAACCATGAGCAGAAATCTGACTCGTCTCACGTAGCATATTACATATATATGGAAATTGGTAACCAAATGCGAAAGCAACATTCCAGTCATGCTTACTTTAGACACCTCTGCTTCTGATGAAATATTGGGACAATATAAAGAGCTAAGAATGCAGAATGTACTGATATTTTGTTAGACAAACTACACTTCTCTGTAAATATATACCTACCTATCCAGTCATCCATTTGATTTATCCTGAATAAATATTGTATCTTAACAGTACAGGAAGTAGGAGGCTCAAAAGGGAACAAGTCACACAAATACCCCCATTCCCAACACTTTTGTATCCTTTCATTATTCCATTGCAATGCTGATATGAAAAGCTTACCTCGCACAGCATCTAAGTAGTGAGCTTAAAAAAGAAAAAACAAAACTGTGATAGATTGAATTTCTGCACCAGAATGAAAACAAAGAAACCATTTGCTAATAGTTTACCATACTTCGGTTAAGATAAAGTGCCTCTCTCTTATTGCAAATCAGGTCTATTCCTACGACTTTGAATAAAACAAATAGCTGATTTTGTTATCCAGGATGTCAGAAAGGACTCATATAGCAATAAACAATAATTGGAGCTACGTGTGTTCTTCAGTTATTGTTCTTTAATATTATGGGCACTACCATGTGTAATGCAAGCTGTGCCTTCTACTTAATTCAGTCATTGCTTAGTTATCTTCCTTTTAAAACCAAAACCAAATCTCTTGAACAAAATAATTTTTACTAACAATAAAGAAAATTCTTTTATTTTTTTATCAATTTTACTCCCTATAAGCAGGTATTATAAGGTAATTGAATCACTGGCTATAGAATTTTGCCATTTAATTAAATGAGGAAGAGCCAAATTTTCATAATACAGAAAAGAAAAAAGATAGGCACTGTATTTGCAAAGCATGAAAGTCTGGACTACCTACCTCTCAAAATTAGGTATCCTGGTCTCTTACATGCAATTAAAATGTTTAAGAATAAGAATGCTCTGGGAAAACAGTAATGACATTTTGGCAAGAAACACTATTAAGCTTTGTAAAAATGTGTCACATTTTATTAAAATATAACAATTAACATTTGTACAGCTGAATAATGACTTCTGAAAAGAGTCATAAGCTTTAACTTATTAACAATATTGTGGTAGTCGGCTGCTGTAAAACCATCTCTTGTGACAAGCAAAATAGTTAAATGCTCTGATGTGAAGGCAGCAGATTTAGATTTATTTAAGCTGCCTGCTAGTTTCATCCCCTACAACTTCTATTAATAATTTTTAAGTATTTTTTATGATTCTCAGTACCTATAGGAATGTAGCTCAGATGTGCATTAGAATGTAACCTATGTATATATATATCTTTGATTTGATATTTCCAACTATTATGTCAGTAATGCTGCATGTAAAGCAAAAGCTGCATTGACCACACACTGTGGGACAAATACAGATCTGGTGTAAGTGTGTGCCAGTCCATCAAAGTCAGTGGAGAGGCATCTCTGTACTCCAGGCCTGAATTTGGCTCTCTAATTTTTCCAAGGGCTCTTCAAGTTGATGGCAGATCTTCCTATTAGCTAATCAGCCTTTTAGAAAAAACCAACATAAAAATCTTACCAATGGTGCAATGATCCCCTTCCCATCCAGGGCTGCACTCACACTTCCCATCTTTGCACTGGCCATGTTCAGCACAGTGAGAGTGGCATGTACGTTCCTCACAGCTTGGTCCTACCCAGCCTTCTTCACATTGGCATATTCCTCTTGAACAAACACCATGGCTACCACAGTCCATAGTGCATAATTCTATATGGGATTCAAAGAATACATACTTTTAGATGGTAATTTTATGTTTTGTTATGGACTATGCATTGATAAGGCATACAGACATCCGTCATCAAGAGTGATTGAATGCAGGACTTTTATCATGAAATACAGGCTGCAACCACATGAACTACTCCTTCTTTAGCAGCAGGTAAGTAGCAAGCCTTATATCTGTTAGGGCCAGCCACTAATTGCATGCCATAGGGCCCTGCTCCAAAGCCCACTGAAACCAATAATAAGACTTCCATTTACTTGGGTGCATTTTGGATCAGGCCCTAAGCCAGTGTATCACACATCCATCCCTGATTCTGATAGGTGTTTTCAGAAATCTAGGACAGTTTTTATTTAAACAGTTCTCAAAGTACAGGGTCCAGGTGGATTGAGTTAAAAGACAAAGTGTGACTAATCTATTACAGCAAAGTGATCACACAGATATTAATCAGTTTGGTAGTGGCCTTCACTTATGGCAATAAAAGCCAACGAGCTAATACACAGAAAGAAAATAACATATGTTAAACAGCAAGCAACCCACAGCCCTGGAAAAATTCAATATTACCAACATATAGGCCCCTCATCACAGGAATACGTCCCAAATTCTGTAATGGTTTTCAAGGTCTGTTTAAAAAGCTTTACTCTTGCCCATCAATGGCTGGCTGGTCAAACTATAAAAACTATTCCATGGTGACAAGATCAGTTCTTGCAAGTCATTTCTATTCACAGTAAATTTTTCTGCATTGATGGGACCCTAGTGAAATTCCATTCATAGTGAAGGAGAATTAAAAGTCCTGAATTGTTTCAATAAATCACAACATGCCAATTGCAATTCTACCTCCACTTAGAGTGAAGTCGTTCTGTGAAAAGAATGGTTTCATTATAAGAGGGCTCAATGTAGTTTAAATTTATTTAAAATAATTAGTGTCAGCAGACAGAATTTGCTTGTTATTCTGCAATTAACCTGCCAGAAGAATGTTTCCTCCTCCTTCTCAGAAGCTAGTTGATAGCACTGTAAGTATAAGCCAAAATAACCATGTCTGTTCTGATTTAAAACGTGATTTAAAAATGTAACATACCAAATGGTGGAAAGATTTTCCCCTGACAGGTTTTAAAGAATGATAATTTCTTACTCTGAACTATTATATATAAACACTCCCCCTTGAATGTCTGTAATGACAAAAAGTGACATTCTATAGGATTTTTTTTTAAAAGTACATATTTAAATTCCTTATCAATTTCAATCTTTCAACAGAAATAAAAAAGTAATGAAAACCAAACCATGCAATAACATTACAGATGTTGACAGCTGTGTGATTTACAACATATGTATAGGAATGTCATTTTTAATGTTTCAGGGTCATGAATAGTTTTATTCAGCAGTACCTTTTAAAAACTGTGTGTGTGTGTGTGTGTGTGTGTGTGTGTGTGTAATCAGTATAACAAGCCCAGGCTCTGTGTGTTCTCTCTGTTTCCCTCTTCTCCCATACCAGCAGCTCTGAGTACTCCCATTGCCTGCCTCCCTCCATTCCAACAACCCACATTCTGCCCCCCATGCCAGGGGTTCTGTGTGCCCCCTCATTCTCCTCTAATCCTCGTGCCCCTAATCAGATGCCAGTGGCACCATGTATCCCCCATATCCGTTTCAAGTTTTCAGATTTTCACCAAATTCAATGGGGTTCTGGGCACTGATGCCTAGAATATTTCCTGACATTTTGGAACAGATCAGATGCAGAGTTCACAAGTTATTGCATTGCACTGCACTGAGACAGAGAAATGCCATCAAATTGAGTGTAGGGCCTCACTTTGCTCAGTCAAAAGGACAACAGTTCTAGAACAGTGATCTCTTCATATATCTTCAGAAGTCAAAGAAAAATTTGAAAACAATTCCTGCCATGAACTAATGAGGGCAATGACTGCGCTGGAGGACGGACATTGTTTTCCTTTGAAAGCGAATTGTGAACTTCAACAACATTTCTCTGATAATAAGGCTGCAAAGCAGAGAAGATACTTCGTTCAGTTGTCTCTTCTTGCTCAACCACTTGACACATCAGCACTCTGTGGGCAGAGTTTGAACTCTCAGGTTTCCATCATTATTTCAATTATTTAATATTAAGCTCCTAAAAATGTGGTTTAAGACAACACTAGAGATGGATTCTTCAGGCTGGGAGATCCAAGCACAGTTCTCATGATTGTCCATAGATTTCTGTTCTCAAGCAAGGCACCAGAAATCAAATCTAATGACCATCCTAACTACAGCAAAGTAGCACAAGCACAGAGAAGATTTCAGTTTAAAACCAGTAGCTCGCCTAATAAATATGACTAAGCATGCACTTTCAGTTCAAGCTACCTTGTTTTGAATATCCAAACACAAACTCTTTAGTTCCTCCTGGAGAAAAACATGCATAAAATCCCTCAAACTGGGAGAAACACTAGCTGACTGAATTTCTGTTTGTCCTGGTAGACCATGTTCGCATAGGAGGTTAAACAAAAGAATACTCCACAGTGGATGGTGCTGAGATACTACAGTGATGAGCAGAATATAAAACCCCAAAATAGGTAGATGGTCCCAGACAATTCTGTCCATAAATGTCACATCATAAAAAAGCCAAAAGATCATGTAATTGCGATACTGGACCCTTTGTTAAATTATGTCTGTTCTTCCTTCCACAACAACTGATGCTTTAAGGACTCAGAACCACCCCAGATGAGCAATGCTCTAGGAACCAGAGCAGCCATGCAAAATATCCTGGATTTAACTGAGCCTGATAGGCAAGTGTCAGCTACTATGGCTCCGCGAAAACACGATTATAAATTGAAATGAGAAGAAGCCAACCAGAGAGGTAAATTAGGAAAAAACTGCATTTCCTTCCACTCCATTGCTCCTTAAAATGCATAATAAACTACTATAATTTAAAAAAATCCTCTTTGGATTCAAAACGTGAATTCTATTGGGCAATATCCCACCAGCCTGAGGCTTTGTGTATTATATTCCATTGTCAATCACTTAACCACCTATAGGGTAACACACTATATTTGTGAAGCTCCTTCTCTACATAGAAGAGTTTAGGCTTGTCACTTTACATAATGGATCCACTAATGAAATTTCCTGCACCTCCTTGTCACATCTCTAAATCTTCTCTGTGTGGTGTTCTTCTGCATGGCTTGCCTTACTTCACAGAAGAAAAATGGTTCAGCTGTACTTGGACTTTCTATAACTGTGCAGGTGTGTGTGGGATCCTCGGTGTAAATTTTCTGATCTCCATTGAAGTTAATTGAGCCACTACAATTAGACAAACTGAGGATCTGGCCCAGGGTTTTTATCTGCACTGCACCAGTTTATAACTGAAACAAGATCTTTGCAACCATAAGGGCTAAGGACTTCATTTTGCTATTAAATAAAACCTTAGGTTCTGCAGAAACTGACAGGACTTCTAGCAATGTGTTGGAAGAGTGCTGGGAACTGCCTCAAACCAGTGACCGTTCGTGACTTTTTTGACAGGTGAGGCACAGATCACAAAAGAGTTATTTCCACTCCCACACAGTGTATAATTTAGTGGTTATTAAAAGGTTAGTTTATTTCTAGTGAGAAGCAACAGGCGGATGTGGGAACAGGTGCTGCTACTCCCTTTGCTACTCAGAGGTTACAAAGCACAAGGTGCTCTCAGGGCTCGGTGGCGGTTCATTGTCCACATGCACAGGGTCCACCCCCAGGGGAGGGGCCCGGAAAGTGCAGGCCCCATTCTTGCCCTCTGCAGCCCAGATTTAACTTCTACAATCCTTCCATGGCCTCACCAAGCACTGGTTACCACAGTAATACCCTTCTAAAGTGACTCCTGGGCATGGTAAATTGCCATGGTAGCAAGACAGCTTCTTGAGGCACAATTAGCTATATCAAGATTTGAGCCTCATGCATCAAGCACTACATTCTTCGAACTTTCTTACATTGCATTTCGCTACTGGAGAGAAAGAGCTGTGAGATTTAAATCCAATCACAGTTTGTCCTCAAATCTGTATCTATTCAGCAATTAAATAACATAGAATAGGCAAAATGTATTTTGTAGCTGTTGGGAATTCTTGGTTAAGTTGTGTCTCACTTGCCTCAGCTGATGAGTGCCTCTGGCTCAAACTGACCCCTGCTTACAGGCTTTTATGAGATATAGTCTCACATCTAGCATTCAGACTCCTCAGCCTTCCACCAACTAATGAGCAAGCGACGTCTAAAAAACCATGTTCAACTGAAGCAGTTAGGAATCTTTACTGACATGTCCTTAATTCTGAATGTTCATTAATTTTGTTAGAAGACATCATACACAGTCTGAAGCATTATTGGTGGATATTCTTGAAAAGGAGACAAATATATTGATCATTCTGGGCTAATCTAAAAAGCATTAAAAATTCACTTCATATTCTTTATTTTAATTATCTAAGTCAACAATGAGTTCTCTTAACTGTGTTTTATAAGAAGTTTCTAACTGCATCATAGGAAAAAGAAAATTAAAGCTAAATATTTTATAGTTTCTAATGATAAGATTTCTATGTTATTTCAACACACTTCAGGAATAACTCAGCTAGAACATTATGTTAAAATATAAAAATATATGTCAACAAAAGTTTTCAAATAATCTTAAAACAAAAAACACTTTCATTTTACTTTCCCACATATTTAAATGATGAACCTTGTGCTACAGATATTCTAAACCCGTAAGTGTCATATTCATAACTTGGAAATCCATTTATTAAAAAATGGATTTCCATAAAGATTAGAAATTAATCTAACCCAACTTTTACCCAATATGCTTAACTGCTGGAGGCTATGAAAATTCACCTATCTAGGCCTAATAAAGAAAGTTTTTTTTCAATTTAAATATACATTGCATTTAATAAGCTTGCATAATAATTTCAACAATATTCCTGAGCTTTTTAAATTACCTGCCTGCTGTGTCCTGGAGACAACTCGGTTCTGTCTTTCATTTTTCAGCAACTGATTT